GCTGTGGGGTGCCCTAACTCTCCTGAGATATTGCCATAGAAGTCACACTTATTAGTAATAGCTGGGTCTGTTCTCTTCTCCTTGGAATTCACAAGATCTCCTGTCACCCCTACAGAATTCCTCAAACTGCTCCCCCCCAATCTAGAATGCAGCCCATTCTCATTCTTGTTGAATTTAAGATGTACATTAGGAGGGTTTTGGCTGGCATTAATTTCTTCATTACTTCCAAAGGGAAAGAGAGAAGGAAGGGAGCATTATGGCTGCTTCTTCACAAGAGATATTCAAAGCAGCAGAGACCCATGCTAAATGTAGTTTGTTAATCATAGAGAGAATTGAGATGCTGCATATAAGCAACATGCTTTCAACCTGAATATGGGCCAAAAAAGCCTTCTTTGCATTCTTCTCTGGCTCTGGCAAAGCACAGCAAACCATCCCACCACAGACATTTCATGGGCATTTGTTGAGTACTGATTGCAATAACAGAGAACTTGAAGGAGCCTTAAAGATGAAGTACATATTTTTTTTTGAAGTTGCTAACAGAATAAATGCTATTCTCCACATACACGAATATGACAATATGCCATGGTGCTGTCCACCCACAAATACTGAAGGAAATTTGGATTATAAGAAAGTCATGCTTCATATTACAAGCCATATTGCCATATTTTTCATACCTTTCTGGTAGTGTATATTGTGACAAAATCAGGCCGTATAGGGATCAGAGGTTACCTCAGGTCAACAAGAGATACCTGAGTCCACTCCAATTAAGTGCTGCTTGTGACCTTTAAAAAACCCTCTTCTGATGTGCGAGAGAAAGAAGAGATGAGAGAGAGAGACTGCAGTACAGAGAAAAGGCTTCTTCTAAGTGGAAGGCTTTTCTCCATCCCATAGGGGAAGCAAGCAAGGTAACTGTGTTTGGGTAAGGGCTGGCACTCAGAAGCCAGCATAACAAGGCAACACCCTGGAGAGGAGGCAGGGAAAGTTATTCTTTTTTTTGGTGTTAGGAGTCTGTGTCTATGTTTGGCTGAAGATTACTACCCCAAGGCCCATTTTGAAAATAACAAAAAATAAAGCAGACTGAGGGAAAAAAACTCTCTGGAGTAGGACTGATTTACTCCAGGTCCCCCACCCACTAGAGGGGGGAGATGCTGAGGCTGACAAGTTGAAATGGATGCCTTGCCATAATATAATATCCTTTAGAGACTATTGTTCAGAAGTGAAATTCTGGCCCGTTGAAATCAATGGCAGAATACCAATAGAATTCAATAGAGCCTAGATTTCACTACAGTATTCGAGTTACTTTAAGTTCCCTTCACCCTCTGGTGTATATGTATACTTGGGTGTGTGTGTGTGTGCACACAAACATATATACACGTTCTCAAATCACTAAAAAGAGGATAGCAAAGGGAAATGGAAGTAAAATGTACATGTCTTGTTTTATCTACATGCAGAGCAGAATGCAGAAAATGATAGATGGAATGGTCCCTGAACTCTAACAGCTTACAATAAAAACCTTAAAATGCAAAATTTGCCACTACTTTTAAAAATAAAATAAAACTGACATTTATGTTCAATTCACATAGTAATTATGTTCTGAAAATGGTACAATGTATATCACTCTTGGCATGCATCTCCTGAGAAACTGATTCTAGAGGGAGTTTTGTTTTTTATAAACAAGGAGAGAGAGAGAGAGAAGAAAACGCTGCACAGCAGTGTCTTTGGGCAAGCAAATGTTTGCAGCATGTATAGTAAACAAGCAGGAGAAGGGATGGTGCCATGATGACTAGCTGGTTTAGGGGATCAGGTATTGTATGTCAACAGCACTGCAGTGTCAGAGCCAAGTTACAGTTGCAAGAATTTAGCACCTTGCAAACTCGTGACCCTGAAAAGGCCACGCCTGCATGTCACAAATGTATCACAATTGATTTTGTGGGGTGAGCAAGGGTAGAAGCCCCTATATGTACTAGGGATCATTTCATCATAGATATGTGGTTATAGGTCTCTGCCTTTATGCTCTTAGGACTGGATTGCTCAGTTATCAATGATTTTGTGTTTTGAGTCGAATAGCTAGATTGCTTTTCTATTTACCCGATTTAGAGAGATTTAAAGTGAACAGCTCTTCCTTTAAAGCTTAAGAAAAAAGGGTGTAAACAAAATTATATGTGCTGATCTGAGAAAGGTAATGAGTCTTTTGTGTTTTGTGTTATGAGAATTTTACAGGGCTGTACAAATGGATTGATTGCTTTCTAGGAATAATTGATTAGCACAATCCAAAATGATTTATTCATAATTAATATATATTATAATACTAGTCACAATGTTCGTGGTGATTTTTTAATGCAAAATGGAGTTGCCTGTTTAATCTGGCATGGGTGCTACTGAAAGGTTAGCTGGTTCTTTAACATACATTTCTGCTCATTTCAGTGGGAATTTTTTTAAAATGAGGTTTTGAGTAAGTAAACTTAAACCAGCACTCTTCTGCTTCTTAGGTGTTTTGAATTATCTGCATGTATTTTGGTGACTCCTAGAGAGAAGGAGGAAGTTTGCATGTAGTTTGATGATAACTAGCGAGTACTCATCATCAGTCTATTGTGTGTCACAGCACAATATGAAGTGTTTTATACAAGTTGTCATCATCAACCTCCAATCACATTTCAGAATTTATCTGAACACCATCTCACATAGTCAGTCTTACCAACATGATACACAATGTACAAGGACTGGTCAGACAGTTTAAATGAATGCACTGTTTTTGTTATTATACTAACATGTGCCTCAAGTCTTGAATCCTTTTTGGTGAGTTACGTATTTGAGAGAAACCAACTGTCAACAACAATTAAATAAATAAGTGATGCAGCAATTACGGAACTATTGCAAATGTTAATCGGGCCACTGGTAGGAGTTTTGAAGTGTGTAACAAATATTCTGATGACTGACCAAGTTTTTCCTTCCATAATGTGCTTTTTCTCTGTTCACTCTTTGTTCTTCTACTTTTCACATGCATCTACTGAAGATTATAGACGAGAACACAGGAAATGTACTATATGTAACAAATAATTGCAGGTTTATGAGTATGAAAAAGACACTTCTCATTAATCTGCCTCACTCATTAATATATATTTATGCCTCTACTATGTAAGAAGGGTGAATGGTCCTAACATGTGATTTAAAAACTGTTCTCCAAGAACTATGCTGGGAAGGAGAAAAAGCATTGGACCGGGTGGCTCTTGAGATAGCGTGGAATGTTGTTAATGTGATAACTTCACCTCTTGCTTGCTGATTAAAATATGGCCTAATATTCAGTTCTACTGTGGGCCCAGCTCAGCAAACTGGGGAGCATCCTCAGCTGCCCTTTAATTCAGGAGAAGTGCTGCACGTTGCAGGAGAGGGTGCACTGTTCCTCTTTGATAGTTGTTCTGTGGCCTCTGTGAAATGAGTTGATGGTCTCAGTTCCCTTGGACAGATGCCCACATAACCATAATACCACCCTTCTTGGTAGTATCAGCAAAGAGATCAAAGGCAGAATGGGCATAGGAAATAAACTATTTTCCTCCCAAAAGCTGGTGCATCCAGTAGAAGGGTATGGAGGACAGTGGTACAAACTTATTAAACCAGCTTCTGTGCATCTCCTACAAAGCGATCCTGTGGAATTTTATGACAAATCCAGAATTTTCCATAGTCTTCAGCTGAACAGTGCTTTGGTATGGGCGTTGGTCAGAACTGTGGAGCTCAGAACCATTCCTTATTACTGTACTGCCTGGCACATCATCTCATACTAAGAAGAGTGACTGAGTAGATGGCACAGGGAAGAAGGCAGAAGAAACACACCACTGTGATGGGCCTTGAACAAATAGAGAAGTAGAGTGTCATCACTGGAATCAAAGTAAACTGCCTCGCATCCAGAAACTAAAAGATGGTAGGGGAAGGTACACTGAAAAAGGGTTTGCCCAAATGAGAAATAGTTAAATGAAGCCATTTTCCTTAAATAAAAGGAAATGTGTTGCACTCTCTCTTGGCAGGTTTAGAATTCATTGGATGCTACAGTATAGTAATGTGCCTAGGAATAAATATTATATAATTAAATATGTATCAGTAAAATTATATACTGCTGACAGGGTGATTCTTTTATCTCTAAATGTGGAAATTGCTTTGGGTACTTGAGTTCAATGAAGGAAACATTAATTTGGTCCTGTCAGCTTGGTGTTTATTATGTTTCCACTCTGTTGCATTATTTGTGCCAGTCTCCTTAACTTGAATGACCCAACAACTCACCTAATGTAACCTAGAAGATGGACAGTCCTATTGTCACCAGTTTAAAGAGATACCAGTTTTTAAAAGCAGTGCAGAACCTGTATTTATCTGCTGCAGCTGCTTCTGAGTATTTTGCTATTCCCTGTGAATAAAATCAGTGTAATTTATTCTAATAATCTCTATCTGGTGACTCCAAATGAAAGGTGTTTCTCCTCCCTTTCCCCGTGGCCCCAGGAAGCAAGTTGGCTTAAAAAAGAACACATAACTACTTAAAAACCCCCACAGAATACAAACTCCATTTTCAAATAGGCCCTTATTATTATTATATCATAGTAGCCTCCAGAGCTCCAATCAAGGCCTTATTGAGTTAGGGGCTATTTAAACTTAAAGATAGACATGGTCCCTGTCTCAAAGAGCTTACAAGCTAACTTTTATCATACAGAATAGACAAAAAAGACTAATAATTGACAGTGATAGTGGTTTTAAACAGTTGATCTCTAGTAAAAGCCATGACCCATTATCTGCTGTTTAAATATACCAGGTTTGTCTAGGTACAATAGAATCAGGCATGTCTTAACTTTCTATTGATTTATTTCACTCTTCCCATTTGATTGCATGACACTTTTTTATGTTTCATATTTACAATCATAAGACATAGCCTGATTGCCATTTTCTTTAATGTATGTATGTGCTGTATAAGATGAAGAAAATATATTTTTACCTTGATTTTTCCCTCTGTCATTGTGCAGTGTACAATCTCATGTGTCGAGTGATACGTCAATGCCCTCAGCTGGATGGATTATCAGATCAATTCAAGTGCTGATCAGTTTGCTAAACTATATGATGATGGAGCCCTGAGAAGAGGTTTAAGCCCTAATACTACTGACAAGTAATGGAGAGTCATCTTCTTCCTTTTTTTCCCTTTTTTTCATTTTTTTAGTACTTGAAAACAGTACTGGATACTCAACATTGGTGATATTGAAGTCTTAATTATCTGAGGATGGGTACAGAAGATGGAAAGCTCCATTACACCACCCCACCAATGCTAAGTGGAGGTTGAAGGGACAATTAAATCTCCATGCCCTCTGTTCAGACTTTGGCTGCTCTTGAGTTTGAAAATGAGGGTGCTAATGTCAATGCTAAGTTTTGTGATATGGATATCTGTCTCCTGGAAACTGGACTGAACCCCCCTCCCCAAAAATAATTTCATGTAGGTGTTAAAATAGCCAATGGAAAAGTAACAATTCTAATGTTCTGGACTGGATTACAGTTGGCAATATACATGTTGCTTTATCATTCCTTTTTAATATTCACCTAACTCAAATTATAGTCTTATCTTGTCATAGCTAAAGTCATTCGTTTAATTTATGCACCCTGGAGGGAGGGAACATGTCTACATCTCTGTCTGCACATCACTTGGCACAACAGGCTCCTGATGCTGACTATAGATAAATAATATAGCAATATTAATAATTAATGGAGAAGAGCTTTCTATTGCCCCAACTCTGCAAAAAAAATTACACCTTCTGAGGATATGGCATAGTATATGTAATACTACATTTTTGTGGCCTAATATGTGACTTTGAAAGAACAGTTCTGTTTCAAAATATCAGCTTGGTTCCAATGAGATGTTAACTGAAATTTAAGGCTCAGTTTAGATCATAAAAATAATTTTGTGAATTCTAGAAGTAAATGTTTTGGTTTTGCAGGCAAGGTTATTTTTTAGTATCTAAACATTAAGAGGGGTGAAATTTTTTTGTCCAAATCTTTTTTTTCCATTGAAAAACGCAGAATCAGGTTGATTCAAATTGAATTCAACAAATGGTTTTAATCTAAAAACAAAACAAAATGGAAATGGTGAAACAGTTAATTTCAGCATTTTCAAAATGCAAAAATTTGACTTCTTAGCACAGAACAAAGTTTTGTTTTGGAATTTCCCTCATTTCCCCCCCCCGCAAAAATTAAAACCAGGTCTATTCTTAAAAAACAAAAAACCACCAGCCCTCAAAATCTAAATGAAACATTTTGTTTCCAGTTGACCAAAAAACAGTTTTTGTGGTGTGAGAAGTGGGGAGAGGAGTTTGCACCCAAATTGAATATTTAGTTATTCACATTGCATTGTTGGAGAGAGCTATGTGGCTGATGCCTATTGCTGAATTCTGAGCCAACTGCCTCCATCTATACCCTGGGCCTAGATTACCTTTCCCTACTAAGAAGTTGATGCTAGGGGTTGGTTTGTTTGTTTTCTACTGACCTTATTCTATTTTTTTTAAATAGTTCCATATTTAGCAAGGAAAATTAATATGCAGTCATGAAAAATATCCTGTTTGATTATTTATGATTATGGTTTCAGAGTGTGTTTGGTCTGTTTCCAAAACAAATAGTGACGTTTCATTCGTTGTGAGTAAAAATGTATTAGTAGGTTCCACAACTTTGAGTCATCCACACTTCAACTTGCACCAGGAATTTGTGATCGATCCTCTTAAAGTTGTCATCTTAATGGGCCATCTTGTATGTCCAATATACTACTATGCACCACCAAGTTCATTTTCCATCTTTTGAGAAGATTCTTTGCTATTCACAAGTAAAATCTTAACTAACAACTTCCTTGAGTTTTATGCACTTTTCTCAATTTGCAAATAATGAACTATGACTAACAAATGATATCATTACCCATTTTAACTAAAAAATGTAATAAATAATGTAATAAATAAATCAAACATGGGAACCAGACACTACATCAATAGCAATAAACATTTAACTTGTCTTCACTGAACCCGGAAACAAAAAATATTAAAATAGAAAGTGTCCAGTATAATAATGGCTTTACATAATTTAAAACAAAAAATGAATAAGGAATTTGATCCTGACTTCATCTTTCCTTTCCTACCTGCCTCTATTTCAGATAATTGAATTGGATTTAATTCAGGATTTCCACTAAGGATGGCATCAATGCTGTTCCACAAATTGCCCTGCTAGAAATGCTGAAGGGCAGTGCTGTCTGCATGCCACTTTCTCAAGTTGGACCAAATGTATTACCCCTGGGATAAGTTTTATCTCTACCAGGATGAGACGGGAAGTCCCCAGCTGGCTGCCAGACCCAGGCACATATGACCTAGTGCTATCAAGCTACCTAATAAAGCAATGCCTTTGTTTTCTTCCTAAATCTTTTCCAGCCTTTGTTCCTGTCCCAGATGTCCTTTTGCAGCTGCCCAATCCCACCCAATTCCTGTTTGCAAAGCTCTCAATTAAAAAATTACTAATTAAAATGAAGTATTCTTTGCCCATGTTACTGCCAGCCTTTACAGTGTTCCATCTGCCCATTTCCCAGTCCTATCCTTATTTTGAGAAGACTCATTTGTATGTGATCTAATCTCTGCCAGGAATTCCCTGGGCCCATCTGCTCCCTTTATGGGTGATCAGTCCTACCCAGACAACTATTTACCCTATTCTCAGCTCCAACTAATAATTAAAAAAATGTTTTGTTTTTTTTGGAGAATTATTTTTTGGAGAATTACCAAAATCATCTCCCATCAATCCCTTTCCACATCGTCTAGAGGCCACATTGATGACAATATGTCTCAGATGGGCCGATATACTGCCAGCTATGCGGAGGGGAGGGGGCATTCTCTAAATAACATATCAGTTTTTCAAAGATTGTGCAGTTGCATTCTACCCACTCATTAGGCTAGGGATGGAGAGTTTTCCAAATTCAGTATCCTGCTTTTGGGAACACAGTTGTGGTCACCATTAAGCCTTACTCCCAGCCAACGTTTGAATTAAAACACTTAGCATTTTAAATAATGCTGTGTAAAATAAAACAAAGCGGATTCTCCATTTAAAGATACATAAATTATTTTACATTTTCTTTTAAATTTGACAATTATTGTCTCTTCCATCTTTCAGGCTTTCCATTGTCTCACTGATTTCTTCTTCAGCTGTAGATGTACATTTTAGAAAAGAATGATCGACCCTGATGCTATGGCACCCAGACATTGGGCTAGAAAATTAGGTTGTGTTAAAACACAGCCTAGAGGAGTTGTGCCAATTACACAATGTTAAACATGACTTAACAGTCAGTGTACACATGGGCAATATGTGTTTAACATTGTTAGCTAGTCATGGTTAATCCTGTGGTTCCAAGCAATTGGAATGTTTGTCTGCTGAAGGGGCCAATCTCAGTTTCCTCTTCTTCCTGATCAGAGAAAAATTTTCCTAATATGAGGGCTGGACATCCAGTGAAAAAATCCAGTCCCTTAGGAGATGATTTGACATGCAGTCCAGTTTATACCTATTCACATTCTCATCCAAGTGCTAAATATCCTAAGGTATTAAGGGCTGTGACCTTAATTCAGGTAGATATTATTGTGCCTTAGTGGAACTGCAAACTCCTGTACTTGTTTATCCTTTCAACTCTACCCCATTGTGTGTTCTACATAAATGTAGTGTTCTACATAAATACTGTGATTTAATGTATGCAGTGTTCTACATAAATACTGTGATTTAATGGACAGTCTCATCTTTTCTCCAGGAACTGACTTCCTAGTTAATTAATGAGGCCTTTTTAATCAGCATTTCTTTGGAAGGCATGCTCTGGATGTTAAAGCGCTCTATAATTCTGAGAAGGAGTAATTGTTTTTGGTCTTCTGATCATTGTTAGCCTTTTCCTTAGGGGAAAGGCCAAGAAGGGGAGGTGAATTCCTACCCTCTATTGTAGCACAGCTCCCATTTACTTCAGTGGGGCCAACATTTCACCCAAGACCTCTGAAGTTACAATTGCTTGCTGAACTAAAGCATTTATTGGGCTGAGGTGGCACCAAGTCTTCTTTAATGTTAAGGACCACTCCACTCTAGACATAGCCATGTGCTTGCTGAAAAGAGTTGAAGGCTTGGTGAAAGATATATAAAGTTACAGTTTGTTACCTTCTGTGTTCTTTTACCAGGAATACAGGATTGGGATGTACAGTAGAACTTCAGTGTTACGAACACCTTGGGAATGGAGGTTGTTTGTAACTCTGAACAAAGCATTGTTGTTGTTCTTTCAAAAATTTACAACTGAACATTGACTTAATACAGCTTTGAAACTTTTCTATGCAGAAGAAAAATGTTGCTTTTAACTATCTTAATTTAAATGAAACAAGCCCAGAAACAGCTTCCTTCCCTTGTCAAAACTTTTTTATATTCTTTCCCTTTTTTTAGTAGTTTACATTTAACACAGTACTGTACTGTATTTGCTTTCTCTTTTTTTTGGTCTTTTTTGTCTTTGCTGCTACCTGATTGCGTACGTCCAGTTCCAAATGAGGTGTGTGGTTGACTGGTCAGTTTGTAAGTCTGATGTTCATAACTCTGAGGTTCTACTGTACACACAGTGACTATGCACTGATATTTCAGTGTCTCAGTGACTTTCATTTAATCAATCAGATGGTCTAGTTTTCTTTTATAACAATATAGTCATTCAAGACTCATTGCTAAAGTAGAATTTGCCAAGAACAAACAGATCAATAGGGACAAGTGTTCAGTGTGAATAACCATACTTGGAGCGAAGAGAAACTTTTAATAGGATGTAGTCTCTCTCAAAGCTGCTCTTTTGTTCAAAGTGAATACTAGTAACACCTGTTCACTATTTCATGCCAAACTCACTCAGAACACTAAAGTTACTGGAATAACTCTTCCACTCCAAGAAATGTTGAGTCAGAAGTTGTTAGTAACATCAGCATGGATTTTTTAAAAGGTGTACTTTTGCCTTTTCTATGACTCCTTAGTGACTGTAAAATACATCACCACAAAAGTGTCTAGTTTTTTATTTTGAAAATGTTTGCTTTACCTTAGCAGATGCAGCCTTTGACCATGCAAAAGCTGAGAGAGGTTGTTTTCCCTGAAACCCTCCCTCCACACAAATGATTCTTAAGGGTCTATAAGACCAATATCAACTGAAGAAATCTTACCTCAGATTTGAGTATCTTCACTGCAGCCATCACTTGTTAGCCTCCTTGATATTGCTGCTATTGACAGTAATGCATAGTTCATAGTGCTCATGTTACTGTTAAACCTTATTGAACTTGGTAAATATTGTCCCTTCTGCTCTCTAATCAAACCTAATTTATATTTATCTTAGAATTAAATATTTGTAAACCATCCCCTACCCTTCTTCAATATTCTTTGCTATTATTGAACTCCTTTTTACTAGTTTGAATGGAAAGGAGAGGCTATGTCATTGACATGTAATCCCTCTCCTCCTACCATGTTTCAGGAAAAGGATTCACAACCATTTCCTACCCTGGAAACCAAAACCACCCACTTTTTTTCTCCTGGGATCCCCAAATTCATTTGAGTCTGTGCCACACAGTCTTTTGCACTGTTTCAGAAGAAATGATAGTACTCTAATACATAATAGGTTGTTGAGTTTTCTAAAGGTTCATTGCACCATATATGGCCAAAGTAGGCATTAGATTCAGTGCATATAAATTTGGTAATTTAACATTTAAGTAATAGCTATGCATTCTTACAGGAAACGTCCATACAGTGCATATTCTCCAAAGAATATACTAAATTAGGCTAATTATTGCAGAAATTTATATGTGGAAGGTTATCACTGCAACCATAAAACCTAGGAACATAAATTTTTTTAAAAAAAGGAAATCTTAGATTCAGAAAATGCATTAAACCTCAGAAAATAACTTTGTGATCAACCTTGGAGTTATGATGTCAAGGCTGAAAACCACTGCTATGCAGTGATTCAGAAGGGAGTTACGTTTTTTAACGTACGGTTTTTTTTGGTAAACGTTTCAAAAACAAGCAGTTGTGATGCTTTTTTAAAAAGTTTACATACATCTCCAGAGTTAATGACAAGGAATCTGATGTAGCATCTTATCTGAAGTACAGTGTGTAGCTGCATTCGAAAAAAACAGATAGACAAATAACCTTTATTCCTCTGCTTTTCTTTAAAGACAGATAGACAAATAAGTCACTTATCACTGCATAGGTGAGGCCTACAAAGCACTGCCACCCTGACAACTGCAGATGGAGAGGTCTCATGTCACCTTAATATAAGAGAACTTGCTCACTTTACTGTTTCCTCCTCATCCACCTCCCCTTTGCCTATCTGTTTGTCTCTTCCACCTGTTGTATTTTGTCATAATCTAGATTGTGAACTCTCTGTGGCTGGGACTGACTTTATACCATGTGGCTGTAGAGTGACTAGCACAGTGATCCTTGACTGGTGCCTCTAGGTGCAATTGCAATCCAAATAACTAACCAATGATGATGATATAGTTAAGTTATGCTTCCTATAATGACACAGCTTTCAGTCTTTGCGCATCTCAACAAAGGAGCCCTGCACTCCTATTCTGTTACATAGTGACACAAATGGAGCTATCTAACATTGCAGAAGCATGACCTAAGAATGCTACCTGCACCAGCTGTTGCACATACATGTCTATGTATCACATTCCTTACGGTTAAATGTGAGCTAGCCTGGTTTTGGAAGGCCTGCATACTTGGTCTAATGGCTTACAAACCTCATAGAATGTGATCTTAGAGAAAAATGTGGTATTATGGCTCACAAGGTGAGGTTGCAATCTTTCAGTTCATACAAGACCCTTACTATCAATATTACAAAAAACCACTCAGAAAATGACAACTCTTTCATTATCCCATTTTTCCAAAGCTCATGTGAGATATGCATTTCTCTCATATACAGACTACATCCCCTAATAAAGTGGAAAGACTGCACCCTTCTTTTTTCCCTCTTTTGTATCATCTCCTTAGAAACATTGTGAGCCCATTTTTTAAAGATGTGTACATAACGTACAGTGCCTAGTTCTGCATTTCAGCATTCAAAT